ATCAAGTAAGAACTCTTTCTCTCTCTACACACTCACATTCATCTCTCTCTCTCTATCTATCTAAGAACTTGGATTCTAAATATAAATTCCGATTCGAACAGGTTTTCAGTGGATGGTACGCCCATAAGAGTGTTGAAGAACGCAGAGCATTTAGGAGTTCCCTTTCCAAAGAACCAACCCATGAAGCTACATTCGAGTCTGTGGAATGCTGATGATTGGGCCACAAGGGGTGGTTTAGTTAAGACTGATTAGTCTCAAGCTCCGTTTGTGGCTTCTTACTCTAACTTTGAAGCTGATGCTTGTGTTGCTTCAGCATCTTCTTCATCTCCATGCAAAGCTTCAGCCTGGTTGAGCCAAGAAGCATTGGACACAAATGAGCAAGAGAAGTTGAAATGGGTTCAAAAGAATTATATGGTCTATAATTATTGCACTGATACCAAGCGTTTTCCTCAGGGACTTCCCCCCTGAGTGTTCACTCTCTTCTTAACCCACATCTCATACTTGTTATTCTTTAATTTCATTGGAACCTCATCGAAGGCATCATTACATTGGTTATGTATATTGTTTCCCCTTATTCATATTCTTATGATATGAAATATTCGTTTATTTCTTCCTGTTGTAATCACGAAATTAATGTGGACTGGTTTCTCCTCCTCAAAGCTGTCTCTCTCTCTCTAAAAAATGCGAAAAGAGAATCTACTCCTCGGGGAGAAGAATGTCCATTTATTCGCTCCGATAAAACCCCTACTTAGATGCCCCAAATTTTGGGGATGCAGCCTCTTAATAGATTAATTTTAATAAAAATAATCGTTTACCGTACTTTCTATGCACTTGAAAAAAAATAATGTCTTGACATTGAATGGAGACCATTTAATCTTTAAATAGTGAGATTTAAGTATTAAAAAACTCAAATTTAATTTTTTTTTAACATAATAATTCTTAAATAGTTTCAAAATTTTCAGATTGAAAAAATTCTCCCGAGATCTTCCAATAGAAGTAAACTGTGATCGTGAGCCGATGAATTAGAAGTCAACTGTGCTACCGAAGGCGTGTAGTATACGTTAAAAATATGTGGTTTGTCATTTATCCTCTCCCAAAAATGTCTTTCCCTAAAGAATTTGCAGGTAAAAATAAATCCATTTAGACCAGTGTAGTGCATAGATGAAAGAACAACAGTTACACTCCCTCAAATAAAAACCTTGTCTAGAAGATCTTAGTATTTAGGAATTTAAAATCTAATTTTATTGGAGAATGGCCCAACATACCAAACTTCCACTAAAAATAATTGGGTAGTAAAGGATTTCAAAATTCTACCAAAAAATACTCCTGGGAAGTATTTTTATTTGACTTTTTTTCTTTCTAGAGACTTTCTCTCTCTAAAAGAAAAAAGATCATTATACAGAATGAAGCAACGGAAAACTCCATCATCTAATAGGATTGAGTAACGAAAAACTCAATCATTCAAATATAGGCATCTGGAACAAACAGGATCGAGTAAGCTCGATCATCACACAGGATGGAATAAGAAAAAATTCCATCATCAAACGAGATCGTTTGATCAAATAACAGAAAACTTGATCACCAACCAAGATCGAGAAATTTGATCATCTTCATCTCCTCATCTGAAGAGGGAACTTTTGACCAACAACTAGGACTGTGAAATTCGATCATCTTCATCTCCTCATCCGGAGACGAAACTCTTGATCATCAACCATAACTTCCTTTTGCATAGTAATTGGACTGATCCAAAATTTGGATTTTCTTGTCCACGTGGCGGTTACTTTAGAAATGTTGACTTCATCACTACTCACATCATCCCCATATCTCCTATACTCTTCCTCTCAAATTGGGTGTGGATGCGAAGAAACACCCAACTTACAAAATATAATTTTTTTTTTTTCTTTTGAGTACAATCATATCTAAAAATAAAAATACGAATGAAATTGGGCTTCTAGACAATAGCCCCCATCTTAAAAAAATACCACCCTCTCTTTTTCTTTCTACTTCTTCAATTATTATTTTTTTTTTTATGGAGAACAATCCCAAAATGAAAAGACTTTGGCACCAAACCTGTGCAAGTGCACCAAACCCGTGCACCTATAAAAGAAGAGTTTTGATATGGTCCCTATGGACCACCAAATAAAAAGCAAGGATTTATTTGAAAACACACAGACTCTCTCTCTCTCTCTAGATTTTATCATCTCTTCGTTGCTCCTGTAAGAGCTATTTCTCTCTGAGAAAGAGAAGAGGTGAGCGGTATTCATTTTCCCGAGCTCTCAAGACCAATCAAATATCAAAGGATTTTTTTTTTTTTGTTCCTTCTACTGATTCCATTGTCTCT